TTTCTTTTTAATCTTCCGGTGAAATGGTGACGTCAGTTAAAAATTAAGGCCGTGCTTATGATTGGCCCTGAGGTTCCTGCGGGGGTCTGAATTCGCGTTAGATTCAAACTAAAAATAAATAGGTCTGTGAAAACGCCGTGACAAGAATTTGGGGTAGTTGCTCGCTCCTAGTGATGGGCTCCTGACTGAGTGCAGTTGAGGAACAACACCCGCGTAAACAGTCTGCATCTCTGACCTTGAGGGGAGCCGAATCTATGATCATCTGCTCATCGCAGTGCTGTAAACCGATTGTTTTGATTTGTTTGGCTCGTTTAATAGAATATAAGTATATTGGAAAAACGTCATAAATGCCATTAGGAGAAGTTTAAAAAAGAAGTGTAAAATTATTTTACCTTGGACCGGCAGAGAAAGGAACGTACGCATATGGCGACTTTCCTTCCATATTTTCATTCGTGAAACGAAGAGGGTCAAATTTCTGCGAAAAGGAACGGAAATAATTAACAAATCGGTAAATACTTAATCAATCGATTGATCAATCTATCTATCTATCTATCATGGGCTAGTGTATTGTAGTGTGGAAAGGTGCGGTGTGGCAAGGTGTGGTGTGGAGTGCTGTTGTAGACAGTGTAATGCAATATAGGGTAAAATAAAGTAGGTTTGGGTAGGGTTGGGTAGGCTAGGGCAGGGTAGGGCAGGGCAGGGGAGGGGAGGGTAGGGTAAGGTTAGGTAGGGTTGGGTAAGATTGGATATGCTTGGGTATGGTTTGGTATGGTTGGGTAGGGTAGAGTAAGATAAGGAAGGGTAGGGTAGCGTGGGGTTGTTAGGGTAGGGTAGAGTAGGGTAGGGTTGGGTAAGGCCGGGTAGGGTAGGGTCGGGTAGGGTAGAATAGGGTAGGATAGGGTGGGTCGGGTAGGATAGGGCCGTGTTGAGTTAGGTAGGGTAGTGTAAGTGTACTTACTGGTCGATGAAGTAGCCTGGACGTTACACATTTCATCTCACCTCAGGATCCTGCCATATATGTGGATTACGGTGCAAAGCAAAGATTTGAGATACTACCACTGTTCCTACAAGATACGATTAATAACGTTTAGAAAAGACAAACAAAGTCATAATAACTCCTTGTATAAAGAAATGTATGCCAGGGGCAAGGGCGTGCCCAACTGGCGTACATTTCTTTGTAACAATTGCAAATTCGTCGTCCCATATTTCAATGCGTTTCCAACAGATTCTACTGAAACCTCACACATATACTAAATTCGGCATGATAATATAAATGGAAGGCTTAAATAATTTTGTTTGAATTAAAAAATCCGAAAGGCATGACAAATTTGAAGTATATCAACAACTTACCTTCATCTACCATTTTTCCATCAATCTCGTACGGTTTTTCCAACACACGGCTGATCTGGGGGACAACAGAGTACAATCTGTTGCTTTCCTTGATGCACAGAAGGACGTATTTTAATTTTCCAAGATCGTTCCTGAAAAACAGAAAAGAAGGGTTTCATATCTTGCCTACTGAATAAGTGAAATCATTGGCCAATAAATGAACTTCCGAGAGCAACGTTCATAATGCTTGATGTACTTTCCTGATCCGTAAATACTTCCCTTATTTTATGACTGAGAAAATTACTTCATTGTGATTGGCGTAGAGCAGGTCAATTTATCGTTAAGTTATCTGTATTCAGTGCAAATTAGCGGGCGTGTTCCTAATTTTCTCAGTCACATAATAAATGAGTAATTTATGAAAGAATTTTCAAATATCACTCGTAATGTAAATCTTGAATTGCGCTCGCATTCATACGATTACCTATACTAACTCTACTTCATTAAAGGGTGATGATGATGACGTTGGCATCAAAGATTTGCACTTAAATACTCAAACTCCCCAAACATTCAGTTCTTGGCTTATTCCCAGAAGGTGTACCATTGCAATAGTCAATAGTTACTAACCCATCAGAGCATGCGCACTGACATATCTCACCATTCCAGCTCTTCCTTACTCCCAAGCACTTCCTCAATTTCCTCGCGGCATTTGTCTTGGTGTTCAGGAAATCTTGCCAAGTTGTACAATGTCCACGAGATGGCTTCGATTTGAAAAGAAAATCAATTAGCTCTTATTAACCGAGCTTAGTCGGTCTGTATGGGAGAATCTTGACTGAGGTCGTGAGTATAGACCGAACGCAGTGAGGTCTGTACACACGACCGAGGTCAAGATTCTCCCATACAGACCGACTAAGCTCGGTTAATAAGATGTTT